TTTTTTTAGTTTTATTTAGTTTTATTTAGTTTTATTTAGTTTTATTTAGTTTTATTTAGTTTTATTTTCTATTTTTTTTGTGATTTGTTGGTGTCTAACCTCCGAACAGCACCAGGCCGAAGCACCAGTGGGTGTTCCTCAGGGTGCAGCCCCTCAGGAGGATTTTCTCGTTGTCCAGCGAGTATTTCTGCCCGACGACCGTCAGAGTCCCCGTGAAACGGTCCAGACGGTTGTTAGGGGGCTCACAGTGCACCTCGCCTAGAGATAAAAGATCAGATTAGATTAGATTAGGTTAGATTAGAGTAGAGTAGGGTAGAGTAGATAAGATAAGATAAGATTCAACTTTATTGTCATTACACAGCTTCTGGTACAAGGCAGTTTTAGGTCTACGGGACATGGATATGTACTGAATAAATATAGAGATAAATACTATTATAAGCAGAATTTTACAGATAGATTTATATGAATATAATATATAGATAACTAGTATTGTGAACAAAATTAAATGTACAGCTGGATATGTTTATTTTAGTTTTTTTTATTTCTTTATTTAGTAACAGCAATACAAAGACTCAGAGAAGATGGGTAGACTCCAAATATAAGCAGAATTAGTAAATAAAAAGTATGAGTATATTATATCCCTTTAAAGCCTGATCCAAGAAAAATAGGAAGAATATTGGATTTTTTTAGTCTGAAGTCTTTCTTTGGCCCCTCAACAACATATGAAGAAAAAAAACTGAAATGATTTTGATCAAATTAGCGTGCAATAAGTCAAAAATGTATGTTGGTGTAGTCTTCTACTGGCTGTTATCAGGTATATCTGAATGTGTACAACAGGGGTTTGAGCAAAGCTTTTACCACTGAATGATGCAGAAAGTCTCACATCCAAAAGACTTCAGAAACCGTATCAGATATGACACATTTGGCATTATAGGGATATAGATAACTAGATTAAAGTTTGTCTCGCTGAGTTCTTAACCCTGTAAAGCCAAATGTATCATATTTGATACGGTTTCTGAAATGTTTTGCGTCTGACTCATTTAGCATAATTTAATGGTAAAAACTTTGCTAAAAGTCCTATTGTACACAATCAGATACACCTGATAACAGGGGGCAGAAGACTACACAAAAAATAATCTTGACTTATCGCATAGTAATACATTATTAATAATAAAAATCTATTTCTGTTTTTTCTTTTTACATATTTTGTTAAAAGGCTAAACAAGGAATTCAAACCGAAAAAAAGTAATTTTCTGTTTTTTTTTTTTCTTGGATCGGGCTTTAAAGGGTTAAAAGCACCAGCTGAAGTTTTACCGTTGAAGTCTGCCAGTTTCTCTATGTCGTCTCCCAGGTCTCCAGTCACCGGCAGAGCCTGCCGCACCTTTAGGTTGGTCTCTCTGAGCGCGGGAAAAAAGACAAAAATAAGACAGGACAAAAAAAGGCTGCATATGATTGTGAAAAGCTTTGTTTTAACTCATTGGCTGCCAAAGACGTCTATAGACGTCTTTTATGTTTTTCAGCGAGAGTGTCTGGGGGACGATCTGCTAAAGCTTGTCCGTAAATATCGGCTTCTAGACAGAGTATGTAGTAACAAATTGACCCTCTAGGGGGCAGTGCCACTTTTGATGGGAGATGAGCATAGACTGTAGGCAAATAAGAAAAAGGGAACGGTTCTATGAGAGAACATGTCGCCGGTGAGACGCAAGTCCAGGAAGAACGGAATAAGGTAGAAACACATTTTTTTTCCTGGTGAAAGAAGAGAGTCTACTCTTTCTTTTGGTGTGTTCGGTGTTTACATAGTCATAGCACAAACTATTCTGTGGCTCTTGAAAAATCAGTCAAAATGCTCCAAAAACTCTGGTAGTCAATGAGTTAAAGGGTACATATTATGCAAAACCAAGTTTTTAATCATTTGATTGTGTACATTTGGGACTGTGGAGGGCCTATCAGCAGGCAGAAGGTGAAAAAAAAGACTCAGTCATGTTTTTGTGGGCTGCCTCAGTCTGAATCCAGGAGATAAATCAGGAGGTTTCAGGAGTGGGTAGTTTCTGACCTCATTAGCTCTAGCTCATTATAATATTATTATTATTATAATATTAATATTATTATATATTATCTAGCTCATTATAATATTCCAGCCTTTCACCTGCATGTTGCCCCCCCCCCTCAGCTTACTCCCCTATCTGTGGAGACGTCGTGGTAGCGTGAGCGTTAGCATGGTAGCGTTAGCATGGTAGGGTTAGCGTGGTAGTGTTAACGGGGTAGCGTTAGCTTAGTAGCGTGGTAGCGTGAGCGTTAGCGTGGTAGCGTGAGCATGGTAATCCATCGTTAGCGCGGTAGCGTTGACATGGTAGCGTTAACGGGGTTTCGTTAGCGTGGTAGCGTTAGCATGGTAGCGTTAGCATGGTAGCGTTAGCGTGCCGACGTGGGCACACCTCCCTGAAGAAGTGGGCGGATTGCCTGTGTCTCATTTGCATTTAAAGAGACAGGCACTCCAAAGCGAGCGCTCTGAACGGGGCTGTTTTGGGTTAGGGTTAGGGTTAGGGTTAGGGTTAGGGTTAGGGTTAGGCAGGGGGACTGAACTGCTATTGGGCTTCATCCTTATGGGATTTTGACCAAAGCTTGTCACAGACATTACATTAGGACACCAGGGAACTAGCTTAACTTGTTGAAATAGGGAGCTAGCTTAACTTGTTGAAATAGGGTATAATATGATAATATTTAAACTGAACCTACCCGTCCAGCTCGGCCGTTTCGATGTAGACCAGGTTGAGCGGTTCACTGCTGGACAGCAGCAGGAGGTCAGCCTGAAACCAGAAAAGATCCATCAGCCTCCTAATCTACATCTGCTATAGCTAACTTCTATCTGGAGGGATATCTAACACTTCTCTTTGCATTGGACCGAAATGGACATGAATTATTGTGACTTTTCATAAGAATATGCTTAAAAATGTCCATTTAGAGGCTAAATGTTTAGCCTCTCTTTAGGATACAGTTATTGTTTCTCTGGATTAAAACGTCCTTGGCTGAAAAGGGTTTTTATTTTTGTATTTATTATTTTTTCTGAACTAAAAACTGGAACTGGAGCAATGGAACACTGAAGATACCAATAAAAAAATACACAATTGAAAAATAAATAAATAATAATAATAATAATAATGATGATGATTGTGATAATAATAATAATAATAATAATAATAATAATAATAATAATAATAATAATAATAATAATAATAATAATAATAATAATAATAATAATAATAATAAAAAGGGATGTGGAAAATAACTGTAGAAGAAAGCAATAAAAATCCAAAAATTGTCCAAAAAGGAAAAAACAGAAGAAAAAAAATTTTCTTTCAAAGAAGGAAAAATACATAATGAGTTAG